CTGGCTCTGAGATGCCATGAGAGACGGCGCTGGAGAGGAGAACCCTTGCCTATGTGCAGATGCTCAGGACCACGGAAGAGGGTAAGCAGGGACCTAGCATTCAGTGAGAAAAGCAATGCCATGACTTAAATATGAAACCTTCCCTGACAGAAGGTTCATGTTGTGGGTTGCCATTTTGAGTGGCTCTGTAAACTCTGGCGGTAAGACTGAGATGGAGGGGTGTTGGGGGTGGTCATATTATGTTCCTGGCGCCAGACAGGGAGGCAAGAGTACAGGGCCTCTCAAGATCCGTCAGAGGAACCACAGGTTTGAGCTGGGATGAACGGCCAGCATCAGGGCTAAGGGAAGGACTGAGTGAGCACGGTAGGGTTCCTGACCTCACCTCTAACCCAAGGCTGTGGACCAACAGGCAGCACTACCTGCGGCTGAGCTCAGGGCCCAGGGAACACAGCTCCCTGAGCTCAGAATCCTCCTTGGGTGACAGCAATTGTTCTAAAGGCAACATACCTGCAGGATGGAGACTTGGGGGTCACTGTTGTCTTGGGGCCCCCTTCTGGGGATGATTCAGCCTTTGCTGAATCATGGTGGCAAAGACCACAGGCTTCAGATCCCCAGAGGGGCGGAGGCTCTGCCAGGGCTCGGTGCTCGTGTGGGGCCTGATGGAGGAAATGAGTCACACCTGGCCAAGCCTAGGGCCCCCATGGGAACTGCAGTGGTGTTTCTGTGGGAGAGGCTGGGGGTGTGGCATGTGTCCACCCTAGCTGCGCTGCCTCCCACTGGGCTATTCCTGGCACCTATGCTGCTTTTGTCTCTTCCTGGAGAGTCTGGGAGGTCTTCAATGCCTCCACAACCCTGTCCGTGAAAGGGATTCTGGTATTTTCAGCTCAGGCCCCCGAGTGTCTACTGCTGCCCTGTCCTACTCTGTCCTACAGAGCCACCGTAGGGCATGGCACACGGGTGTCCTGCTGCAGGCAAGACAACGAGTTTCTAATGTAAAGGTCCATAAAAAAGGAGCTATCAAAAATAATGACGGATGATTTTTCTGAAATGTCATATCCAGGCGACTGTGTACGTCAGACTATATTTTAGGAGCAGTTAAGAAAGCTTTGTGGAGAGCAAAGAGATGGCTTAACAGTTAGAGACGTGTCCCTGTCCTAACCATGTCAGGCTCATTTCCGAATTCTCCTACCAGGGAGGGATACCTGCTCAGAAGCAGGATCTCAGCTTGGACATGGCACTATTGAACTCTCCATGTAGTGGCTGCTAACCACGCCATGGCCGGCTTATCCTCAGACATCCTTGGAGGTCCACAGTCTCCAACATTTCTACGTCCCTGAGGACTCGTGCGTCCAGCCTGGTGCTCTGGCACATTCTCCTTTACCCATCTGAATTCTCTCACTTCCTTCTGGCCTGCACCTGCCCTCAGCCTTGGGCAACTGTTTAGGACTCAGCTGTTTATTGGCTGTTTTGTTTGATGGTAAGTTTTCGTCTAGTCTTCAGGAGAAGAGAGACATTTTCCTGGTCGTCATGCTCGCTGCCTTGAACAGTGCCCATACTCTCTAGACTGCAAGAACAGGAATGAATTCTGTTGTGCAGTAGTAGGTCTTGAAAGTCAACATGGGATGACAGAGATGGGAAAGAGCCTGGAGACGTGGGTGAGGCCACAGACTTTATGCCGCAAAGGATTTTGATGAAGATTCAGGGGCAGTGTTCTCTATCAGGGCTTCACACAAACTGGGGCCTACAAAGGACTGAATGCAAAAACAGTGAAAAATGAAAGGAGAGACCTTTTCTGAGACTGATCCATCGGCCTTCCTCGACTGCTAACAGGTACCAAAGGAAGTGTTCATATCAGGTGAAAAGCTAAGCCAAAGCTTTGGGGCGACACCAGGCAGTGAGGCAGGGAGCCAAGAGGACAGGAGGTGGAGTGAGGAGAAGCCAGAGAACACCCAGGAAGGTAAGGCTTCCTATCTGAGAGATGCTTGACCTGCAGAGGACGTTCAAGTCCATGCAGGGGCACCCCTGAGCTCCCAGTTTTCAGGATCGGCTTGTGGAAGCCAGGCTATACAGCGTCTTCGTCACTGCTGTGTGTGTTTGCACTTAACAAGCTGGAAGAATCAGGCCCACAGGGCCTACTCCACACATGCAAGCACAAAGGACACCCGGTGCCAGAAAACAGAGCTCAGAGTCCTGGGGCTGATACACAAGCCCAGCCCACCCCGCACACCCTTGGCCACCAGGATTATCTGACCTCTGAAGGCTTCCATCCTTGAACTCCTATGACCGATGGCTATGTCACAGGAAGAGCTTCTGGGGAAGCATGAGGAGGCATCTTCCACAGTGGGAATGCATTATCTATGCCATTATAAAATGTCATTAGATAATGACACTGTGTACATGAACTAAAACAGCCAGAACTATTTAATAACACATACTGTTGTAGCCTATGGGCACGTACATGTTCTTAGATAGATTAATATAGTGTTATTATTTGAGCACAGTTTTTTTCCAATTAATAAAGGAATTATAGCTATCAGTGGATAATTATAGCAAATGGGCTATTATTTATAAACAGGATGTAGGCTTATTAAACTTTCAGAAGTGCAGAGTACCCCGGCCACTCGAGTGCAGTATTTGGCACATGCTCAGGGTTTCTCTTGTGCTTTGGGAGCACACAGAATCTGCTACAGACGACAGGCTAGTTCCCCCTGTGAGGTTTTACAAAGAAACTGTGTTCTTTGGTTATAGAACTCATTGGTGGGCCCCTGGGTTTCCTCAACTCTGAGCCTTGGAGAAGTGGTGGACTCGCATCTGCTCGTGTCTAAGATATAAAAGTTCTCTCCATGTCCTCATCCAGCACCACAGTAGAACAGTCTATTCCACAGGTAGGCCTTCCCAGCATGAGGGACACCAGGCCCGGACAGACGCTGTTTCCAGCACCAGCTGCCTGCCAGCCTGCATTTCCCTGAGGTATATAAAAATGGAGAAGGCCACATGGAGCCATGGTGAGCTGGTTTGGATTATCTTCATTCAAGCATTCTTGTTGGCTTTGAGAAAAAGACCCAAATCAACAAAGTAACGACTGAGAAACGTAAATCTTCAAAGTGCTCCACACTGGCTCTCCATTCTTGCTGTTAGAAAAACGGGATCCTGACCAGTGGGCCCCACTTACCTCTCAGCATGCCGAGTGCCATGCTGGGAACCTTATGTCCACAAACTCCTGAGACCTTGTGGCCCTTGGGAAAGCAGATAGCATCAACATGGAATTTGTGTAGCATGGGAGGGGAACCATGGAAAAGGTGGGGGCCACACAAATTATTCCCATTCCCTCTCTCGTCTGGGACCACTGCTCTCACAGATCATATCTACAAAATTATATAGCAGTGAGGGGTAACTACATATGGAAATTAACCCTTTGAGAATGAACCTAACGAACACTTCACAGATGAAATGTACAGAGAAGCCAAATTATCTTAGAGAAAAAGAATGAGTCCTTAGTCAGGAAAGGCAGTGGGTACCTGTTGGAACATCTTCAGCATCTATTTAAAACGGTGACTAATTATGTACGTAACCTGGTATGTCTTCCCTCCCTAGAGTAAGTTCAGGAGGGTGGGTACCAGGCCCATCTTTCACTCCCTCCACCCCCAACCTGGTCACGTGCTAAGTAGAACGCACAGAAAGAGTGAGTGGGCTAAATCAGGGCAAAGAGTGCATCAATTGGAAAGGTCAGCAAAGGAGTCCAGAGAAGAGAACACTCCCCAGGATCCATCCATGCCATGGCCAGAAGAAGCCGGTTCCGTAAAGAACCATCAGCTGCTGACGCAGATCTCCCTGGGGCGGGCTGCTCTGGGCCTTGCCACAAGTTGGTTTCCATGAAAGTAGGGTGCCCTCCTAATACAGCCACAGCTGTGGCCCAGGCAGGTTAGGCAGGTAAGTAAGGCAGGTAGAAGAGAACCTTTCTGGGATGGCCTGCAAGCCAGCAGCCCCATGGCTGTCCCTACATGGGCCTCAGCCCTCCACGCTATAAGATCTGCTGTTACCTTTTTGTGGAACACCTACTTTGCAAAGTTGTTCTAGGGACAGAAATAAGAAGGCCTTCTCTGGGTGTGCTCCATGAGGCACACACCTAACCAGCGGCTGCTTGTGCGGAACGCACACAGTCCATGGAAGAACCAGGCAAGTTGATCAGGCTACGAAAGACCTGTCTACAGTAGACAGGAAAGATCAAGGTCAGCAGGCGAGCCTGTGGGCAGCTTGTGGGGACAGTGCAGGGTAGGTGAGTGGTGTCTGCTGTCACAATGACAAGAGAGCAGCTCCAGCCCATGTGAGCAGAGAGAGACGGCACCCGGAGATGTACCTGACAGCTGCTCTACCCAAATACCAGAAACACCCCAAAGAGGGATGCTGCAGACAGGGGGCGGGGGGAGGGCGGCCTACACACGGGAGGACACCAAGAGGCTGCAGGTGGTGACGAGGATGAGGGGATAGTGCAAGTCCTGAGCCTCTGTTGTTACTTTCTGCTCAGCATCAAAGGTGGGGCTGGCTGACTGGAGAGAGGAGCGTTTCTCTGGCCTGCCCCTAAGTTTGTGCATTTACTCCTGGTGCCACTTTGCTGTGACGTATCTGTCCTGTGGTGGCAGCCCCAGCTCTCCCCTCAGTCTCCAGTCCGAAGCCAGAACATAGGACGTAGTGGAGTCCCAGGGTTTGGTCCTTACCTGACCTACCTTTTTCCAACAGTCAGAGGGGCCCAGTGGCATGCGGTGGGCCTCACCATCTTTTCCCAGTTTATATAGCATTGGACAAGGGACAGAATGCACACTTAGAAAGAGGCAGACAGGGGGGAGCACATAAACACGCAGCCGAGGAAGCTTTCAGACACTGGATTTGTAACATCAAATTGAGGCAAATTCATGAGCAGAGAAAGGCAAGCGACACTGTGCACACTGGCGCCCGCGCTGTCCGCCCAGAGCGAATGGTGAAGCATGCATGCATATACATACCCGACTCGGGTACTGTCTCGGTACGGCAGCACGGAAAATACACTACACAAGGATCTTCTGCCACTGATAAGGACTATTCTACAAAGTAAAAACAAAAAACAAAAAAACAAACAACTAACTAAATGCAAAGACTCCAAATTAAAAAAATAAAAACAAATAAAACAAACTTAAAAGTTCTAGAGCAAATTAAGCATTCGTGGAATTCACAGCAGCATTTGCAAACTCCGCCACCTCCTCTGACAGATGGCATTCTGCTCTTCTTGCAAGACGCAAGCCTTGGTGCAGCAGTAGCGTGTTGCCTTTCCTCACCCAAATACTAACACGTGCATGTGAGACCAGCCATACGTGACAGGTGCTGCCTGGGATGGCGGGCTGTGCCTACAAGGCAGGGCACCGCACCGAATCTTGGGCGGCCAGCTCAGGCCAAATGACCAATGGCACATGGAGAATACTGACTCCTGCCCTACAGTGAACGATGTGAGGGCAACAGAGCTCCGGACGGTGCGCCGGAGAGATGTTGTGATGCCATTACCGTTGCTAGCTTTTCATATCCTGGTAACACGTTAGGTTCTGAGAATAGACTGAGGAACAATTACATAATCGGTCTTAGCCGCCATCCCTGCTCTGAAGAATCTACTGGGAACAGTTCTACACGATGCTCTTATGCAATCAAAGCCACTTGAAAAAAACATTAAAAACAAAAACAAAACCCCTCAAAAGTACTTATCCTGCCATCTGAGAATAACTTTTGCCAAAGGGAACTGCTGGTGAAAAAAAAAAAATGAAGGAATGAGTGGAAGAAATTAAAAAACATTCTTTTTGGCATGAGGTCAGTACAGTTCATATGCAGAGCTTATTTACTTTTTAAATTTCCTTTAATATTACAGCGTCACGAGCAAGGAGAAATAGCACTACTGAAAGCATGAGGGCTTGGGGAGCTTAGCCTTGTTTTGGAACCATGATATTAAGCTGCCCACAGCCCTGGCATGAAGACCAGTCCCTGGCATGGCCAGCCAGACCCCCCCCCTACTGGCCCTGCCTCTTGAGTACCAGTGACACAGTATTTTCCCTTATCATGTTTTATCATGTCTCCATGCTAAAATACTTGCAGTGTCCCACCTACTGAAAAAAGCCAGTTTCCCTCTGTGTCTTATATATGCGGTTTCATTGGCCTGTGATGCCCTGCTTAGGCACATCTGGTAGACCCTCACTGAGCCATCAAAACCTAACTTGGAAGTCAGCCCTCTAAGCCAGTGGCAGTGCACTGTGGGAACCGGCTCCTGGTTACTCGTTTCCTGTTCTAGAGCAAGGCTATGGATTCAGCACTGGGCTGCTCCTCCACGGATAGGCACCCAGTGTCCCTGAGCCATAGCCTGGCTACAGAACGTGCCCTAGCCCTCATGGAGGAGGTCCAAGGCTTTAGCTATCTATACTAGTCCCACGAACAGGACCAAAGAAGGCTCCCAGCTTCTGACCCCAACTCTGGTTCCTTGTCTCACTCATCTGTGCCTTGAATTCCCCGTCTAAAAAAAAAAAAAATGGTGCTGAGTTGGGCATGGAAACACACACCTGCTTTCTCAGCACTTGGGAGGCAGAGGCAGGAAGATCAGGCATTCAAGCCAAGCCTTGGCTATACAACAAATCTGGGACCTATCGGAGTTACATGGCATCCCATCTGAAGAAATGAGTGAGGGAATTAATGAACAAATTAAGGAAATGAGGTAAAATTAATAATGATCTTATTGAAAATTAGTTCCTTCTAGAGAAACCCCTGGCATGCTGCCCGGCCCACCCGATACACTAAGTAGGAATCACTTTCAGTGTGGACTAGCTTCCTGGGTGGGGCTGTCTCAGCAACAGACTTCTTGTGTTGAGAACCTCTCCAGGCCTCAGTGCCGCTGAAGAAACAAAAAGGCCGCGCTGGGGGACAGCTGCAAGAGCAATCGCACAGCCCAAATGACCCAGCGCACAGATCATTAGCGATCAGCGCAGCAGGGCCAGGAGTGGGCCTTCAAAACCTGAAGGGTTGAGTAAAATTCATCATGACCATACCTGCCTGCACCATTACCCGTGAAGCCCAGAGACAGCGCTTCCAACCTACTATGTCTGTAAGTTTACCTACACCGACACAGTGATAGCTCAAACGACTGCTCATGTGCCAGGTCATAAGGTCATGTGCCGGTAAGGAAGGCACAAGCTAGTGAAAGACTCACCAAAGGTGACGCATCACCCTCGGGGGCAGCCCACGGATTTGAACCTTTGCTCTTTCTTGCCAAAAATTCACCTCCCAAACTTACCAGAAAGATCTGCCTGCAGGTGTTTATCTAAGTACCCACAGGCTTCCTGGATACCAGCACGCCTGCCTTTACCCACATGTTGCCTGGCAGCTTTCTAGTCTGGCCTGCAGGTCAGCTGGAAGGTGGCACACCACACCACCACCACTGGAGCTGTGGAGACGCCACGTTCCACACTCTGCTCCGCCAGCACCCTTTCCCGATGGAGGCTCTCCCTGTCCCCACATCCCCCGTCCCCCTCACTGTCTCTCCTGCCATGCCCCCACTCATCAATGTCCCTGAAGGAGAGGAGAGAGGGTGTTGTTCAAACCCAGCTGCTTGCCTGTGGCAGCATTTTTTCTCATTACTCAGTACTAATGTGTTTCTCTTTCCCACACACCAAACTTGTTTGGACATCTTTAATAGAACAAGAAAATGAGAGCCTGTCAATGCCAAGTGCAACCCAAGTCCCCTCTACCATTTCAACCACAAAGCCGCCTGTCAGTAAATGGGCCATATTGTTCCACGAGCTGTGGGTGCACTCTGGGTGGTCCTCACTGTTAGGTCTAGGAGATGCTGACGCCATGGATCTCATTCAGAAACCTGTGTTACTAGGTTGCATGTGCCAAGTTTAGCATTCAGGGACATGGACTGCGTCCCAACAATCCCACCAGGATGGTTTTCTCCTCGGCCAGTCTTAAGGAGAAGGGAGGGAAAGAAAAGCCCCGAATCTTTGAGCCTTTCCCTGCCATTTCTTAGCTCAACCTGCCCATGGACTCTGCTCTTGACAGGGGCTAGAGAAAGAAGCCATGACAGACACGCATGGTAGATTCATGGCAATATCACCAATGTTGCCACTGGAGCTCCTGGGAACATGTCTTCCATATTTCCTGGAGTAGACCTGGCCTCCAAGCAGGGACTGCAGAGCCAGAAGAGGCCAGCGGCCATAAGGGCAGAATGAGACTTCCTCCTGCACAGCAACTGTGAGGTATATCCTGCTTAGAACCAGAGGGATTCGTGGGGATTCAAAGCTTTGCTCTTCCGAGGGGCCAGCCATCACAATGGAGATGCCTCAGAGGAAAATCCAATTTGTTTTCTTCCTTCAAGGGCACCTGCTCTTCCTGAGAGAACTAAATTGGACAGTGGTGGTCATGAAGGGCGTGAGACAACCACATATGGTTTCCAATGGGCTCTTGAAATGACCATATCCATGCCCTCGCCCCCAACCGTGAACGCTACTTTTTTTTCACACGACACAAGGAAAGCTCACACCATCTTCCTTCCCCGCCTGTGACATCTAACACTTCATTAAAACAAAGCTGGCTAGAAAGCTTTCCATAAAAGATGAGGACTTCAACAGTGGCATTAACCCCAGGGAGATGGAGCTGTGAAGAACCAAAGGTCACATTTCCATGTAAACATCTGCCAGGAAAAAAAAAAACAAAACTGAAATAGCTACAGAAAAAGCTCCATAGGGCTGTGGGCCATGCTGCCTCTAGATGTACAAGGTTTTCTAAAACCTCCGGAGCTTCAGAGCATGCCCAGCAGTTCACCAGGCTTCTTATCCACAGAGGATCATTTCCAAGCTCTTGGGAAAGTGCAGCCACTCAGGGGATCTTTCAACTTCTAAGCACAAATTCTCCATGTCCATGCTTTTTTCAAGAAATTTGTTTTCACACCCTCAGTCCGGCACCGGCAGCCTTGTGTAACACCATCCAGGCTCTTCTCATGTTCTGTTGATGCCAAAACACTATCTTCTTCCATTTCCAGCCCCTGAGGAGCCTGTTGGTCTTGAGAGTCTGTTGGTCTTGAGAAATTTCATCCTTATTCCATATTAGCAGAAATTTCCCATAAGGATATTAAAAATGATCAAGCAGCTCAAAGAGTAAAAGAAAGAAATATCACCCTTGTAACAATGGGACAAGTACAGTGACATTGAGCACAGTCCGGGGTCCATATCAAGTACTGGACATGGGCAGAGACACATTTTCCAGACTCACTGTTTCCATACCTTGGAAGCCAGAGAAAAACACTGGCAATGGTGGCACTGTGGGCTGCACTGTGGAGTCACAGCCCTCACCCCTGTGGAAGCAGGGACTTTACAGATACAACTGGGTTAAGATGAATGATGTATTAAAGTGGGTCCAGGAAGTGATGTCTTTACAAGGAATGAATGTTCCATAGATACCTGGACAAGCACGGAGGAAGAGACCATGTGCTTGTGAGACAGAGACGGAATGTTGCTGCTAAGGGCCATGATGCCTAGGACGGCTGCCAACGGCTGATGATGGAAGGAAGGCAGAGTTCTCTAAAGCCCTCAGGGAGAACATGGGCCTGCATGCCAAGCCCCCAGAAATGACAGAAACCTTCTGTGTTGTTTTAACCACCCAGCTCTGAGTGCTCGGCATGGCATCCCAGAAAATGAATACAGCTGGCATCTGGCTGTGTCCTTTCTGGCTGGATCTATGCTCCCTCTCACGCGCTGGGCAGGTGCTCGGGGCATGTATACTATGCTTGCTGTCCCCAGAGGAGGCAAAGTGTTGAAGACCAGCATCAGGAGCCAAAAGAACAGCATGGTTTCTGGAAACCCCACTCTTCCCAGCTCTGCTCAGATTGCCTTTCCCACATCCGCTCCTTCCTTCTCACAAAGCCCAATTAGAAACGGGGAGAAGGACTTGACCCCTTTCTCTTGTGCCTGAAGCTGGCAATTACATAATGAGTGTTGAATGAAAACTGCCACAACAAGAAATGTCCTTGTACGCCCTGTGTACACACTCAATGGCCACTGGGAGGAGGCACCTTCAG